TCGAGAAGGACACAAGTTCCGTGATTTTTTCCCCCAACAATGGTCTCATATATACTAGCTAGGCAAGCTCTCTACCACACAATTTCCCAGAACTTTAACCTGAGAACAATTTGACGAACTTCTAAGAAAAAAATAACTTTGAGTCAGAAAAGAAACACAAAATACCTGTTATCCTAGTTAAAAGACCAATTTCAGGGCTTGGGAGATGGCTCAGTGGGTAAAGGGGCTCATCATGCAAGCTGGAGGATCGAGGCAATATGATGGGAGTTCAAAGCCAGCTTAAACCGCATGAGGCCCTATCTTAACCTTCCACTCTTCCAAAGCCTCTGCATTTATCTCTATCCATTTTTTCACAAAAAGAGGTCAGGACATTTAAAGAGTAGCTAAAATTATTAAGAAGAGCTGAAGGACAAATTTAATAGCCAAATAGTGATATGGGGAGAAAAGGCAGAAGTACGCTGTCCACTCAACTAGAATGCTAAGGATAATTGTGAGACACCTGCAGAATACACATACATTTTCATGGGAGGCATATGTCCTCAAAATAGGACAGGACAGGGGCCAGAGGGATGCTCAGTGATTAAAGAGCTTCAAAGGGTTCAAGTTTGGGTCCTGGCCCCCATGTCCAGTGGTTCACTATCGCCTGAAACTCTAGTTTCTGGGGATCCAATGCCCTCTTCTGGCTTCCACGGGCACCAGCACACACGGCATGCTTGTATAACTAGAGCTTTTATTCACTATTTCCCCAGCCCAGAAATGTGTTAGTTGTTAGTGTGTGTATGTATGTGTTTTGACTTTTTGTTTGTTTTTCTTGAGACAGGGTTTCTTTGTGTAGGCCTGGATGTCATGGAACTCACTTTGTAGACCAGGCTGGCCTCGAACTCCTGGAGATATGCCTGCCTTTTTTAATTTTATTTATTACTGTAGTATATTCTCACATGTGTCATACAGGCACACATAAATAAAACTTAAAAAAAAAAGAGGATAATTTGGTGAAGTCTAAGTCTGTGTTATTTAAGTCAATCATAAACTGTAACAGGATTGGAAAAGGCCTTGAAGTTACTATTTTTTAAAAAGATTTATTTATTTATTATGTATACAGCGTTCTGCATGCCTGTATGCCAGAAGAGGGCACCAGATCTCATTATAGGTACCTGGGAGGCACCATGTGGTTGCTGGGAATTGAACTCATGACGTCTGGAAGAACAGGTAGTGCTCTTAACCTCTGAGCCATCTCTTCAGCCCCCTGAAGTTATTTTTCAAAGTAACTTTATTATTCTTTATGTGTACAGGTGTGCCCCTGTGGAAGTCAGAGGAGTGTCAGATCCCCTGAGCTGGAGTTACAGGTGGTCATGAGCTGACTGACATGGGAGCTGGGAATAGGTCCTGCAAGAACAGTACGTGCTCTTAATCACTGAACCATCTCTCCAGCCCACGGATAAGAGCTTATAAGAGGAAATTCAAAGACCAAAATATGATATGAGTTTACTGTGGAAAACGGAGGGCTACGAGGGACGGGCACAGTGCTAGAAAAGTAGTATACATGCGGAGCCCAGATTTCTTCTCAGCAGATCTCGAGACATCTGTCTAAGGACACCTTCAGACGTTTCTACAAGGAGCCCACTTTACATTAGCCTAGGGAACACATTACCTTGGACAGCAGGTATTAGCAAAATGGTGGTGAAATAAGCTGTGTCCATAACCCAGATCTCCCAACTACCTGCTGTGTGGCTTGGGGCAAATCACAAGACCTATTTCGCAAAGGCATGGGTAAGAGTTCCAGAGACTCAGGAAAAGCGGGGGTGGGGGGTGGGGGATGAGGGGGTTGGCTTGTGACAAAGTCTCAACTACTCTGCTATATTCTAGAATTCCTTTCAAAAATAAGCAAATAAACACACTAATTTTTACCACATTTACCTATGTGTGTGTATGTGTGGGTGCAGAATGTTGCACCTGTGGTGGAGAGAAGACAACTTGTTGGAGTTGCTTCTGGGATCAAAGTTAGGTTGTCATGCTTGGTGACAAGTGTCTCAACCCAATAAGCTGGCCCAAACAAAAGTTGTTGTTTTTTTAAGTTTAAGTATATTTAGGAATGAGAAAGCAATATATAGGAATTAACTGACTTAGGGTATACCTAACTTTAAGGGTGGTGGTATCTGAAAGGGAAGAACAGAAAGGCAATGCCTACTTCCCACTTTTGAAGAGGGCATCAGACCACCTGGCTCTGTGGCTTTAAAGGGTGGTGTGAGTGGCTAGATGTGGCACTAGGAACTGAACTCCAGTCCTCTGTAAGAGCAGCAAGTGCTGTTAACCGCTGGGCCGCTTCTCCAGCCCGTTGGTTTGTTTATTGATTGACTGGCTTGTACGTGTGTCTCCTGGTCTGCACTTACACTACTGCTTACAAAGGCTAGAAGAGGGTATCTGGTCCCCTGAAACTGGGGTTACTGAAGCCATGAACCACCCCATGCGGCTGGTGGGAACTGAACCATGTCCTTTGCAAGAGCAGCAAGTGCCATAACTGTTGAGTCATCTCTACAGTTGATTCGTTTTATTTTTGTTTGTTGAGACCAGGTTTCTCTGTGTAGCCTCGGCTGTCCTGGAACTCACTATATAGACCAACCCAACCGTGAACTCACTAAGACCCACCTGCTCTGCCTCCCAAGTGCTGGGATTAAAAGCATGGTCCACCATGCCCAGTTTACTTTTAGAGTTTACTGAGTACAACTAGAGCACTGCCTGTGCACACATTTAATCCCAGCATCCGGGAGGCAGAAGCCAGCGGATCTCTGTGAGTTCGAGGCCAGCCTGGTCTATAAGAGCTAGTTCCAGGACAGACTCCAAAAGCTGCAGAGAAACCGTGTCTCAAAAAACCAAAGAAACAAACAAACAAAAAAGGAAACCTAGTTTCATTATTTTCTATCTTGGCATTCAGCACAGACCACAATGTTTATTATATATGTATATATATATACATATAATATATATATATATTTCCCACACTAACCAGCTCTAAGATTGCAAAAATCTGTTGATAAACATTAAACATCAGCACATACTAAGCCCTCCAATATTTATTTAATGAATTTGTCCAATGAATGAATCAACAATCTCTGTGTCTTTTTCAGCTAAAAATAATATTCTTTTTTAGATATTAGAACAAAAGAATAACCAGTATAAGGGGTGGCTTTATGGGTCTAAGGAGACAAAGAATGCCTTCCGGTGATAAAACTAAACCAATGGCTGCACTCCAAGGTTTAGTTAGAACCTGACTGATATAATCTACTAACGACTCAGACTCTCTCAGTTTAAAAAGAAGAGACGTTTTTGCTTTCAGATTTGCTAACGTTCTTCTTAGGTGTGCAGGAGTCTAAACTCAGGCCTTGTGCACGTTAGGCAAGGCCTCTACCACTGAGTCACACCTGGATCCTAAGTCCTGCCAGCAACCCATGACCTAGGTCCAAATCTCTCTTCAACAATGGAATGGGTTGGCCACGTGAGAAAGATCTAAAACACTCATTAAAAAGACACAATCCCAAAAATTCTGGTGTAGTGTATGTGAAGCATGGCACTATGATCTACACATTTAAAACTTACAGACGCGAACAGGTATTTAAGCAGTAAGGAAACTTTAGGGGAGAGTTTCTCTTTCACTCTGGGTCGGCTTTCATAAACTGCCAGATACCAGTTTCTTTGGTAGAGGAACTGTTTTAACCTCATTTCTCTCTCTCTTTCTCTGTTTTCTTTTCTTTTTTCTTTTTTTTACACTATGTAGAGCTAGGCTATATAGCCAAGGTTCTTGGTCTTGAACCCACAACCCTATTGCCTCAGTCTCCTGAGTACTAGGATTACAGGTGTGCTCCACCACAGTTGGCTCTAATAGTCTTCTTTTTCAATTCCATATAACAATGTTGGAAATGAACGTATCTGCTTTTTGTTTCAGTGCTAGAGAGAAAACCCAGGCCTTGAAGCACGCCAAGCAAGAACTCTACCAGCGAGTGAGTTACGTACTTCCTTAGTCAGGTGTGCTTTTAACAAACATTCTAGATGATTCTGAGGTGAAGCCAAATTTAGAAAGCACTGACTGACCCAGGGTTGGAGAGTTAAGTTCAACTCAGTGCCATGTCACTAATGGATGCCTTAAAAAGTTGCCTAGCTCCCTTTATCTCTGCCCCTTGTCCTCCCTAAGAACTAAGCCTTTCTCCAGGAAATACTAGCCATTCAAACGAACGATACAAAGCCATGTTATTTTCAATTCCTGAAATCCTTTCCTGTCCATCATTACCTGAAATGACAAACCTGACAAGGCCTATGTGACAGACATTTTGGTATCTGAGTGGAAACGAAGTTGGACCTACACGGAAGGGCTGCTTTTCTCTCAGCATTAAAACATTCCAACTGAACACAACCGACGATTACCTTACCTTATCGATACAACAGCATCCCGAACTCCCCCAGAATTGCTTGCTTTTTTTTTTAAACCACCGGGTCAAAAGCAATTAACCGTTGAGCGAACACTACCTTGTACCTTGTAGGACGGGCTGTGATTAGTTCCAAGTTCTGTCTCCGGCTGACCTAACTTGACCTAACCTGGAACCCGGCGAGGGCACAGGCCCTCTAGCGCTCCCTTCCTTCCCATCCACTCCAAGGACTGCAGAGGGAGTTTCCGTCTGGCGCGGAGGGCAGAGACTCAGAGGGCCACCGGAGAATCTCCTCTGCAGTGTCGCTTCCACCACCAGGACACGCGCTGGAGGCATCCTCACTTTCTCGACTTGGAGCCAAGAAAGGCGTGTAGAGGGTTCCCCAAATGCCAGGGAACCCGCCAAGACCAGTCGGCTTACCCTGGTCCCTAGCTGAAAGGCTTGTGCCCAGCCAGAGCATATGAGTCTCCTTGGATCCGATCAGGAAGCTGAAAAGGGGGGTTAGGGAACCCCACCCCACTCTCACCCGTGGGCCCCTCTTCCCGTCTCGGCAGAACTTCCCACTGACCCCAGTCCCCTCACCCAGCATGATGGGGCTGAGCCGCCGGGCCAAGCCCTTGGACAGGTCGTACACGTAGAGCTTCACCGGGTAGAGATTCGGCGGCTCCATCAGGACCCGTGGCGGCGGCCACGATGGCCCTCGGGCACCCAGTAGCGACTTGGACCTTCTGGTACCCGACGGGGGTGGGGAGAGGAGGGTGCGGGGGACCGAGCCCGGGCCCGGCCTGAGGGCGGGGGAGAAGAGGCCCTGCGCTACTCGCGCCCCCGCGCCCGCGACCAGCAACGACTACTGTGAGGTGACAGAGAGAGATCCCAGAGACTCCCCACGCAAGGAACAGGGGGCGGGGGCGGGGGCGGGGACGCACTTTCGCGCATGTGTGTTCGGCGCTGACGGGCTGCGGGGGCGGGGCTTCAAAGAGAGGGCGGGGCTTTCCCTGCCCGCGCGCGATCTAGTTTGGGAGCGGGGGTGGAAGCCACGGATGAGGATGGGCGTGTCCGCTTGAAGGGCGGAGGGCGTGTCGTGCGTGGTGACGTGTTTGTCGTTGATTGGGAGAGAGCCGGAGCCCGCGCGTACGTGTGGCCCGCCTTCTGTCCCCTGGGCTCGCTCACCTGCAGCAAAGGTAGGTAGGTCGGTCGTGCTTGAAGTGTTGGGTGCGGCACCTGCCGTGGTCCTGCGTGTCCGCTCATTGTCGCGCGGTCCTTTGTTTCACAGCAGAGCAGCACCGGTCCGAAGAGACACACTGTGGATCCTGCTTCTTTCTCCCCTGGGTGTGGCATAGGACTAGTAGTTGAGACTTCACCGGGAGTCCCTGGCTGAGGGTTGGGGGAGACTGGGAGGAAAATGAAAACGAGTGTTTTAACCAGTACACCAAGTACCCTCGCAGTGCAGTTGGCGGTCGAGATGAGACCTTAAGGTCTGGGCCGCTCCGTTATACCCCGCCCCCCACCGCCAACCACTTTCGTCCTGCAGCTTCCTTAAGGGCTTTCCAAGGGGAGGTTGGTGCTGGAATGATCCCATGCTCATTTCCACTGCTCCCTCCCACCGAGAGCTCTCAAGGTAGCAGGAGCCATCATTCATATTCCTCATCAGTGACCCGAGCATTTTGAGCAGATCTAGAAAGAACCTAGAAGTTGACTTTCTTTTATTTGTTTGTAGCACAAGACCTGGCACACATGGTAGACAAGCGTTCTATCACAGGGCTACCTTCCTCGGTATTTTTTTCTGTTTAAATTTATTTGTTGTTCATAATTTCTCTCGCCTAGTGAGCAAACCAACATGTCAGGGTGGGAAACCTACTACAAAACCGAGGGCGAGGAAGAGGAAGAAGAGGAGGAGAGCCCTGACCCGGGTGGTAAGTTGCTTCATCAGGTAGTGTGGTCTGCGTGGAAGAAAGACTTTTCCTGTCTACTTTTTTTTTTTTTTTGCTCGAAGCATTTTGCTGTCTGATTGCTCTTTCTTTTCTCCCCAGATAATCTAAAATATTTACCCGTTTTGGGTTTTGCAGAGATGTTCAGACCCTATTCCAATCTGTGAACATTCATTCCTAACTATTTTTTACTAGTCGCTAGTAGATTTTTCTATTAATCTCTAATCAATGATTCTATGCATGATAATCTTTGTCACTTTATTTACATATCCCCCCCCCTCCCGACAGGATTTTTCTGTATAACAGCAGTCCTAGCTGTCCTGGAACTCACTCTGTAGACCAGGCTGGCCTCGAACTCATAGAGATCCACCTGCTACTGCTTCCCTAGTAACAGGATGAAAGGCGTGTGCCACCACTGCCTGGCAAGTTTTTGGTTGTTTTTAAAAGTATTTTTATTTTATGTATATGTGTGCATCATGTGCATGTCTGGATGCAAAAAGGAGTCAGAAGAGGCAGCTGGAGTTCCTGAACTGAAGTTTCCATGTGGGCACAGCAAAGTGGTGCTGTGTTGTCTGCAAGAGAGCAGCAGGTGTTCTTAACCACTAGTTTAACCACGGAGATACCGCTCTGGCCCTGTTTGTTTGCTTGCTTGCTTGCTTGTTTGTTTATTATTTATTTCAAGGCAGGATTTCTCTTCATAGCCCTGACTATCCTGGAATTTGCTCTGTAGACCAGACTAGCTTCAAACTCAGAGATTCACCTGCCTCTGTCTCCTGAGTTGTGGAACGAAAGGCGTGTGCCACCACTGTCCAACTATTTATTTTTGAGATGTGGTTTCATGTAGACCAGGCTGCCTTCAAATTCACTGTGTAACTGACATTGACTTTGAGCTCTGTATGAGCCCCGGGAAGTGAGTTTACATAAAGTGGACATTGGTGGTTATACTTCCTGCTCTTTGCCTTTCCTCCTGCCTCTTACCTAGGACTCAGAGCCCAGCTTCAAGACTGTGCTACGAAACCTCCCTCATCCTTAGAAAGGTATAAGAGCTGGACGGAGACAGAGAAACCGTATCCTCAAAAAAAACAAAACAAAACAAAAAAAAAAGAGAGAGAAAAGAAAAAAAAAGGTATAAGAGACTCTCGGGCTGGAGAGATGGCTCAGTGGTTGAGAGCACTGGCTGCTCTTCCAGTGTATCCGGGTTCATTCCCATTACCCACATGGTGGTTCACAATCATCTACAACTCTTATTTCCAGGGACCCGATGCTCTCTTCTGACCTCCGGAGAGGAAACTAACCACGCACATTGTTTACATACATACATGCAAGCTAATCATTCACACATAAAATAAAATGAATACATTTAGTAAATAATTTTTTAAAGTAATTAAAAATAAGAATTCAAGACTAATGATTCAAGATACATACTTAGATGATTTTTTTTCCCTTTTTTTAAAATTTTGTTTTGCTTTTTGAGAAAAGATTTCTGTGTAACCCTGGCTGTGTTGGAACTCATTCTGTAGATCAGGCTGGCGTCAAAGTCAGAAATCCACCTGCTTCTGCCTCCTAAATGCTGTGATTAAAGGTGTGTGCCACCACCACCCAGCTCCTTAGATGAGTTTTATATGTGTAGTGCATGTACTTTGCTGTTGGAGATTGGACCCAGGCCCTCACACGTGCTATAAAGAAAAACAAGGGAATGAGTGCCAAGACAATCAAGAGAGTGGTTTCCTTTGGGGAGACAAAGGAAGAACAAAGGGAAGCGTAAGGGCGCTGTATAGGAATTGTCCAGCTGTCCTTTTGTTCTACCGAGCTTTTTGTTTTATGTGAGTGATAAGCATATTAACTATGATGCAAAAGGCAAACATTTTCTGTCATTTGTTTCCCCATAGGAGAATATAAATATTCAGGAAGAGATAGCTTGATTTTTCTGGTTGATGCCTCCAGGGCTATGTTTGAATCTCAGGGTGAAGATGAAGTCACACCTTTTGATATGACCATCCAGGTAAGACTTTCTCGTTACTGGACTCATAAAATCGAGGGTGGGTGTGGTGGTGCATGCCTTGTATCCCAGCACTCGGGAGGCAGAGGCTGGCCTGGTCTATATAGCGAGTTCTAGGATAACTAAGGGCTTTATAGTGAGACTCCATCTCAAAAAAACAAAAATCAGGAAGAAGCCCGTATCACAGAATGTGCATGGGTAAGGTGCTATGTGGTAATCAGGTCAGAACCCTAGGGATGGAATAGCCATTGTCTCCTGACTGACTGGCTTAAGCCTGGAGTACCCATACTGGTCCCATTCCTATCAGACTGTTACTCATCCACAGGCCTCATGTGGGTTCCAGAATCTCCTTTTTGATGAGAATCCTGCTTATTTTGCACCCATCCCTCCAAGAAAGGTCTGGGAATGATGGCCTATGCCTGTAATCTGCATGTTGGAGGCTCAGTAGGAAAAGCGTGTCTTCAAAGGCAGCTGGGGTGACATAGTGAGGTTCTGCCAAAAAGGAAAAGGAAAATTAGTGCCACTTTAAATTGTCTTGTTTTTCAAGACAGGGTTTCTCTGTGTAGCCCTGGCTATTCTGGAACTTGCTCTGTATTCCACGCTGGCCTCGAGCTCACACATCTGCCTACCTCTGCCTCCTGAATGTTGAGATTAAAGGCCTGTGCCACCACTGCCTGGATATTTTTAAATTTTAATACTGTGTGTGTGTGTGTCGGAGGTCAGGGTTATTATATCACCTGGAGCTGGAGTTCCAGGCAGTTGTGAACTGCCTAATATGGGTGCTGGAAATTGAACTTGGGTTTTCTGCAAGAACAATACGTACTCTTAACCACTGAGCCATCTCTCCAGCCCTACCTAGTATTTCTTTTTAAGTTGAGTGTCTCATGTAGCTTAGGGTGGCCTAAAAATTTGCTTTGCATCAAAGGCTACCCTTAAATCCTTTCTCCATCTCCCACATACTGGTACTATAAATATGTACCACCATACCCAGCACGTGCCATTTTTATTTATTTTAAAATTTTGTTTAATTAAAATTTTGTTTATTTTGTGAATATGGGTGTTTTATGTGCAGGTATGTCTATGTATGCTTGATACCAGATGATACCAAAAAGGACTTCAGATTCCCAGACCTGGAGTTACAGACAGTTGTGAGGCACTATGTGGGTGCTGGGAATAGAAACTGAGTCCTCTGGAAGAGTAGCCAGTGCTTTTAACTGCTGAGCCATTTCTTCACCCCCACAAATACCACGTTTAAAAGTTTGTGTATGTTGATGGTGGATAGTCCTCTCAGATGGTCACCTGTACTTGTATCTGGCGAGAGTGGGAGGACACCCTCCATTTTATTCGGGATACTCTAGGATAATTGCTCCCACCTTCTGGGCTAGCTTGGAGAAGGTAGAAGTGGGTTGTTCTCCTTGGAGTTGGATTGTAAGTCGAGTGTTGCTGTTATAGTGTGGATAAGGTCCTTTTGAGGCTGGCTCAGTGGTTGAGACCAAAGTTCAATCCCCAGTATCACCAACACCACAAACACCACCACTTCCTCCTTCACTTCCTCTACCACCACCACCTCCTCCTTCTCTTCCTCCACCTCTACCACCACCACCACCACCACCTCCTCTTTTTCCTACTTCACCTCCACCTCCTCTTTTTCCTACTTCACCTCCACCATCTCCACCACCATCACCTCCACCACCACCACCACCTCCTCCTCCTTCACCACCTCTTCCTCCATCTCTACCACTGCCACCTCCTCCTCCTCCTCTTCTTCTTCCTCTTTCACCTCTACCACCACCACCTCCTCCTCCTTCACCTCCACCACCTCCTCTTCCTCTTCCTCCTCCTTAACCTCCACCACTTCCACCACAGATATACACACATACACACATCTTTTTGCAGGTGAAATCTGAGAGTTGAAAATTATTTGTAGTAAACAATTACAATACAGTCTTAAAATGGGCAAAAC